TGTGGTTGGGGGGGGGGTGCAGGAGGTAAGCGGTGATGTAGTACTTGTGCATGCAAATGCAGTCTGAAGGAGCAAGATTACATTTGTGGAGAGGCGTATTTTGTCCCAGTACAAGCACAGCATGCTCCGTTTTGTCATTCTCGTGTGAAAATGCACCATATTGCTTATCTTCAATGCTGGCAAAAGGACTTATGTATACTCTGTACTAAAGGTTCAGCTGTTTGGATTAAAAACAAACAAACAAAAAAAGTACTTATTCAATTTTTGGTCTTGAACTAAAAATCTAAATGTAAAAACTGAAATCTACTTAAAACTCATTCAGTACCAGCCAATTCTAGACCAAGTCTGAAAAGACGTTTAAAAACGTCTTTGGGAGTGAATGAGTTAAGTATTAAAGTAAAATTGAATTTTTACTGTCAATTTTATACAATGCCCATTTTTATCATGTGGCACAATGGGGAGCCCCCACCCTTTATTTTTTATTTTTTATTTTTATTTTTTTAGAAACTTACAGTGCGTGTACTGAGAAGCACCTTAATAAAAAAAAAAAAAAAACCCGACATGCTGCATGTTGATTAAATACAGTAACAAGCATTTCTACTTGGTTACGTCCTATCTCTGGGTTATAGTTGACACGTTTGTATTCTGTGTGCTCCCCAGTGCGAGGTGAAGCTCGCCCAGAAGCGTGTCCGCCTTGAGAGCAACGTGGGCGGCGCGACCGGCGACGACGAGGAGGGCGACGACGGCGGGGACTCGGACTCGGACGACGAATCCTCCGCCAAGGCTCGCTATTTTGGCTACATCAAGCAGGGCCTCTACTACGTGACGGAGATGGAACGCTTCGCGCCGCCTCGCAAGCGCCCCCGCACCATTGTTAAGAACTACCGGCTGGTTAGTCTCAGGTCCACCACGCCCGAGGAGCTCTACCAGAGAAAGGTATGAGGTTGACAAAAATCATTTCAAAAGATGTAGTTTTTAGTATTTGACTTTTTACTCCCACATTGTAGCTGTCCTACAAAAAGCAAATTCCAACTACAATTTTTCACTAAAATGCAAAGTAGCATGTTTGCTGCACAATGAAAAACAATCTAGAGTGTCTTATCTCCCCCAAAATATAAAAATGGCGGTAAGTGGTTTTCAATTCAGATTTCTTCATTTTCTTTCGAATTTGCGACGCAATTCATGCGAGACTACAATGACAACAACAAAGCAGAATCCATTTTAGCTTCTCAGTAAAATTCCAGCCGAGTGAACTGACAAAACAAGTGTCGTCTTTGTTGGCGCTGATACCATCTCGCGGCGCTCGCTCGGCTGTCTCACAAAAGCTATAGGCGGCTATCAGCCGCTGCTCGCGACAAATTGCGGCAAAGGCACCAATCTGCACTTTCACAAAGCCCTCCAAGTTTGAGCGCGGCCGGCTCATCAGTCATTTTTATGAGCCTGCATCCAGCGCCTTCTTCATCACTGTCATCCTCATTGGTGGACATTAGTCTTGCCCATCAAATTCCAACAGCCCAGAGTTAAAAGTAATACATCATTATTACTATCGCTTTGGAACACTCGTTGTCCAGACCAGTCGCAGATCGTCCCCCCCACACACCCTAATTCCCAAATACACTCTGCAGTCATCCCTCACTATATCACTTATTGTGGGTTCAATGTATGGCAGGATTTTTTTTTTAAATTGTACAGGACAGTTATGTTTCCAGTAAAGTCAACACTGTTAGCTAACTGGATATGGCCTACCACCAGTACAAATTGTGATCCATAACGGAACAAAATACAGTCATCAGAAGCAATAAACGTTAATGCGCCATCCACTTAAGAAAAGTAAACGGCTCCCATGCCTTAAAAAGGTAATTATCGTTCTTGTGCATTTCTCTGTACTCGCCGTTATCATTGACTGTTTGAAATGTCCACATGGAAACAAGACATGACCTCTTCTCTACCTGACATATTTAGCAGAGGAAACGCATACTAGTGTGATTTCCTCCGCAGTTGGACCTTCCCACAACACGTCTCTCTCTCTCTCTCTCTCTCTCTCTCTCTCTCTCTCTCTCTCTCTCTCTCTCTCTCTCTCTCTCTCTCTCGCTCGCTCGCTCCCTCGCTGGCAAGGCTGCCGACATTTTCATTAGGCCAATCCGCTGAGACGGCGTGCGAGAGGAAGGGAGAGAAACGTTTTTTGATGTCCTCCTACGACGGCTTTAACTGTGCGGGCTTCTCGCTGCCCTCAAGGATGTGCAGTCTGGCTAATGTGCTGCTTTGTACTCCCACACACAGGCAGAGATGGATACACTGTTTGTGTGTGCGTGTGTATATGTGTGCGCGTGCGTCGGTGTGTTTGCACATGCACGCAATACGCGTGGGCTCGCTATTGTCGAATCAAATCATTTTGAAGGCATAGATATGACACAAAAGCATCTGTTTTGCCAGTAAAGGCCGGCTATTTAAACTGTCACTTAGAGGCTGATGCTCATCATTCCTGTTTTATACCTAAACCCCC